CCCTCACACGTTCAGTTATCTCGTTCGTGACAACCGTACTCTCTCTTTCATCCCAACACCCCACATTTCGCGGAATTCCGAACACAGGAAACGATTCCGACACAAGCCTAAAAAAGTGTCGGAACACAAAACATGGCCATTCATCTTCGGACAGAGGACATGATCATTTCATCACGTGCCTGAGCGGGTCTGAGACCCTAGTAGCAGAAGTGGTGCTGCTGTGATGCGCTGAGCCGCTCCTCGGGGGCTCGCGCAATGGTCAGGGGGATGTCGTCCGCGGGCGTGGTCGATGGTTATAGGCGCGCTCCCTGCTGCTGGACTACCTCGTACTCTTCGCTCTCTCGCATGACTTTTATCTAACCCTCTCCTNGATGCGCTGAGCCGCTCCTCGGGGGCTCGCGCAATGGTCAGGGGGATGTCGTCCGCGGGCGTGGTCGATGGTTATAGGCGCGCTCCCTGCTGCTGGACTACCTCGTACTCTTCGCTCTCTCGCATGACTTTTATCTAACCCTCTCCTGCTTTCACCTCGCAGCTGACGTCCGGACTCCTGTTGACTTCTTCAGCTTCAAACCGCGCGCTCTTGTCGACGCTGCGGGAGCTATCTTGTTCTTCGATCCTGGCGTCCTCCGCTGCTTGGCGGGCCTCCGCTGCTTGGCGGGCTTCATCTTCGCGCCTGGTAGCCATCTTGACCCTGCTCTCGATCGCTGCAAAGCGATACTCCTAAACCAAGCTCGACCGCGAATCTCGTAGACGACGTGTCATACGCTAGCGTGTTCGATCATTCGGGTGGCTCAGTTGTTTGTGATGGGAGTGTAGAGCAGCTCGGCTATGACGGGCCGCAGGGGTAGGTAACGCCGTGCAGACGTGTTGGAAAACGTGTTGTAAACGTGTTGTATTCATCGGGGNTTCGATCATTCGGGTGGCTCAGTTGTTTGTGATGGGAGTGTAGAGCAGCTCGGCTATGACGGGCCGCAGGGGTAGGTAACGCCGTGCAGACGTGTTGGAAAACGTGTTGTAAACGTGTTGTATTCATCGGGGGCGTGCTTGAGCTCGTCATTCCATCACGGCATCAAGTCACGCATAACGCTCAAACACCCAAAACGAATCTTCATGAATCTCCACCAATCTACCACACTCCCAAGGAAACATAAAGAAACTTCTTGTTCCTCCGTAGTTCGTCACTGCAATAACCGCATATGTATACGCAATGTAACACCCGCATGGCATGCTACGAGTATATCGAATACCTCCTACCAGCAACCCCAAACAAAAAGCCGCAAACCCGCAACAGCCACATCAACATCACTATATCAAGCAGAAACTTGGTGTGTCATCTTTGCGTCATCGACCGATGTGAGAAGAGGACCCTCGTGTGACACTGATGTTCAGCACCAACTCAAATTCTCCAGCTTGCAACGGTACGCATACCACTCCCTACCCCCCGAATCGACTTCCCTACCGAGCTAACTCGCTCGAGAACACAGACTGAGGTGCGCAACCGTGTGACTGCAAAAACCGCTTCTCCCAGCACAACCCAAAGGCTACGTGGCATAACTACCACGGGGCTGCGTTTCAAAGAAGCGAGACCTCTACAGTTGAAGGGAATTACGACCCCATCTAAGCTCGAGTTACTAAACACGACAAGGTGACGAAGAACCTTAGGCCATTCGATTCCGCGGAGGCTATCTTCGCTGCCTGAACCATTCCTATGATCAAGGAGATGAAATGCCTCAAGGTTTGGCATCCGTGTTCCCAGTCCTTGCAGTGACTCCTTGAACTTGTGGCCTAGCGTAAGTCGCCGCATGGATACCGGCCACTCGCACATGTCGACACGCTGGTTGAACGCCGACAACATTACGGCGTTTTCAAAACCTTCACCATCGTGCATTCCAAAAAAAAATTCTTCCAAGGACGCCAGCCACCTCACGTTATCAACTTGCTGGTTGAAAAAATGTCCGAAGGCAAGCCTCTGAAGCGAATCTGGCCACGTAACGTCCTCAATGGGCTGGTTGAAATCCCCGCCAAAAGCCAACTCCTCCAGCGACGCGGGAAAGGTAGCCCATTCAATCGACTGGTCGAATGATTCGCCAAATGTGAGCTCCCGCACTGATGCCGGCCACTCCACGTCCTTTATCGGTTAGTCGAAATCCGAACGGTACGCGAAGGTGACCTCCTTCAGTGATGACGGCCACACAACGCTCTCGATCGACTGGTTGAAGTATCGTCCGAACATGATCTGCTGCAAGGACGGTGACCATCTGACATATTCTATGGGGTGGTTGTAGTCATCCCCTTTCCTAAGATACTGCATGGAAGTCGGCAGAATTACGTCTTCAATCGGTTAATCGAAACATTCGCTGAACCTGAGCTGCTGCAGCAATGGCGGAAACTCGACACCTTCGATGGGTTGTTTGAAGGAGTTTTCCAGATCAAGCTTCTGCAGACTTGCTGGCCATTGCATCGCATCAATCCGCTGGTTAAACTCTGAAGAGAAAAATATAATTTGTTTCAGCGGTGGCGGCCACACCACAGCCTCAAGGCTGCCGTTGAAGACACCACCGAACCGCAGGCAGTTGACGTCCTTCAATGCAAACATCAGGGTTCTCAATTCCGTTGCTGTCGGCATGTTCCACTTCACCCGCCGCGCCCGAAGCCGTGGGACCCGTGTCCGGCATGGCCGCTTCGTGTGAGGGGGTGGGGCATCCACAGCGGCCAGCAGGTTACGTGGGGTTTGCGCGTCGACCTTCAACTCCAAGATCTGATACTTTCGGCACGCGAGGCAGAACTCCAAGGACGCCAGCTGCAGCTCCTTGGTAGACGTGTACCAACGCTTCCCGTCGCACATCTCGTTCAAAGCAAGGATGAGGTCTTTCGAGCCCGAGCTACACCTGCGTCCTGCGGGAAGTATCGCGATGTATTGGGGCATGCACAAGTTAGATCAAACAAATAAAGGGCGAGTTTCAAAAGGTTTCACTCGTCAACGGATCAACATTGTGACTGATGATGTCGTTCGATGCAGAAGAAGGTCAACAGACAGCCAACCGAACTCTCCTAGGTTCCAAGAAAGCAAACAAAATGCGGGTGACGCCATGATCGAGGTCATGCACGAACCGTGTACGAAACAAAAGATTTGAAAAGTTGGAACAAAACACCTTCGGGATTGGGACTGCAAAGATTCTGGCGGGGTGCTGTAGCCCCAACTACCTGACTCTACGGTGACAACAGGTTGAGGCAGAATATAGACGGACTTGAGTACGATTGATTGCTGTTGGAGAGAGTTAGAGAGACGCTATCCAAACGCGTGTGGAATAAAAATATACACATCGAGGATCACAAAGATCAAGCTCAACACATCGAAGATTGAAGAGAAGATAGAGTAATCTTCCACGCGTGATGCGCATCCGAGCGACAACACCGATAGTTAAGGGAACATAACTTCAAGGGTGAGATCTCTACTCGTTCAATCCGGTCAACATTTTTCCGGGAAAATTCAACGCCACAAATTGCGGGAAAGAATCTTCCGCCATCTACCCAAGCATTTGTTAAGGGTTACACTTAGTTGCATATCGACCAAGCATTATGCCGATCAAGGAGGCGTATGAGAAGATCTGATCCCGATAACTGTCACGCGAGCACCGAAAACAAACGGTTCTAGTACATTGTGGCCTAGCCCGCTTGAAAATTGAGCCAGACAAACCAGCACCACCAGCTACCTTTGTCGCTTCGCCGCTCTCCACGGCCGAATACCATAAATGTGCGGAATCGTCAATTCGCCTCTCTTAGCAAAGGCGCGTGTTGGTTTCGGATCGGTCCCAGCCTTGGATCAAGATTGGAAGTTTGGACACGAACCTGCTCCAGATTTCCGAACGGCGATATATGTATCCCTCGAAAGCTCGAAAGCGTGTCAGACGCAACCGTTGCCTCACAATAATTGAACACAATGTTTCGTGGCAATACGATTCAGTCGTTCAGACATTGTTCGCGCGTGTCAGGAGTGGAGGACAATCCAAGTGTCCATCCCATGGTTTTTGCGTGTCCTGCTGTATTGCCCGAGGTCATCGCTGCCAGTTTGTGTACAGATTCCTCGATCGAGTACGACGTGCATAGCGTAGCATTCATTGCACCAGGCATCATAGCGAAGCATGGCGCGTCCCTATACGAATCACGCTGAAATGGTTCCTCTGCAACCGGTGCTACTCACCCCAAGCACAGACGAACAACCACTGAATGGTACAAACAAAACGACGTTCATATGGTGACAGTGACGCTAGAAGAGCGAGGAAAACATTATCTCAACACCAATACATCTACACTCCTTTGCTCACCAGGCCTTGTGGAACACGCGCCGGCGTCTCCCTCCATCAGGCTTTGTGCATTAATCGTACTCAGACCTTTCCAGCGGGAAAAAGCAAGAGAAAAGGGGGGNGGGGGGCATGCAGGAGGGTTAACGCCTTTAACGCTGAGACTTCATGGTGTGGACGCGACCGGTCGTAGCGGAGGGCAGACAGCAAGAACGGATGATCACCATCAAACGTTGGGTTTCACCAGCTGGAAGTTAGAATACTTGCACAAATCTCGACGAAAAGTTAGCAAATCCGTACACAGTCATATTTCTCTATCGCCTTCTTTAAACATCCTCTTTGTGCCAGGTAGAAATTTTTCTTCTGTATGTGGCAACACCCTCGCTGTTTGAGGGCGCTGTTTGGGGTCATCGCTGGGGTCACGTCATGAGGGTCCCCAATCATTACCATCTCCTCTAATTTCCACGCGGCTGAAAGTAAGCTCGGCAAACCCCTTCCTCCAGTCTGTGTTATCGCCCTCACTCAAAACCAAACACTGTGCAAGTATGCATTATTGGGTGTTTTTTACGTTGAAGTATTGTTTATTCAACAGTTATGCGTGATGTCTGCAAAGTGCGAACGTGAGGTGTCCATGGTGTATCAAGCAGGCAGTAAGAG